ATTGTACAATGGAAAAAAGAAAGCATCTTCAACAAATGGTGCTGGCATAACTGGATGTCAACATGTCGAAGGCTGCAAATAGATCTATATCTGTCACCATGCACAAAACTTAAGTTCAAGTGGATCAAAGACTTCAACATAAATCTAGTTACTCTGAACCTGATAGAAGATAAAGTACGACGTAGTCTTGAATGCATTGGCACTGGAGATCACTTCCTAAATGTAACACCAGTAGCACAGACACTGAGAGAAACAATCAATCAATGGGACCTCTTGAAATTGAGAAGTTTTTGTAGAGCAAAGGATATGGTCAACAAGGCAAAGTGACAGCCTACAGAATGGGAAAAGATCTTCATCAACCCCACATCTGAAAGAGGGATGATATCCAGAATATATAAAGAACTCAAGAAATTAGACATCAAAATGCCTAACAGCCCAATTAAGAAATGGGCTACAGAGCTAAACAGAGAATTCTCAACAGAGGAAACTCAAATGGCTGAAAGACATTTAAGGAATTGCTCAACATCCCTAATCATCAGGGAAATGCAAATCAAAATGACTCTGAGATACCACCTTACACCTGTCAAAAAGGCTAAGATCAAAAACACTGAAGACAGCTTATGTTGGAGAGGATGTGGAGCAAGGGCAACACTCCTCCACTGCTGATGGGAATGCAAGCTTGTACAGCCACTTTGGAAATCAATATGGCACTTTCTTAGAAAATTGGGAATCAATGTCACCCAAGACCCAGCTATACCACACTTGGGCATATTCCCAAGGAATGCTCAATCATACCACAAGAGCACATGCTCAGCTATGTTCATAGCAGCATTGTTTGTAATAGCCAGAACCTGGAAACAACCTAGATGCCCTTCAACTGAAGAATGGATAAACAAAATGTGGTACATATACACAATGGAGTACTACTCAGCAGAGAAAAACAATGACATCATGAAATTTACAGGCAAATGGATGGAATTAGAAAATATCATCCTGAGTGAGGTAACCCAGACTCAGAAAGACAAACATGGTATGTACTCACTCATAGGTGGATACTAGATGTAAAGCAAAGGATGACTAGACTGCAACTCACAGCTCCAGGGAGGCACCTAGTAAAGAAGACCCTAAGAAAGACACAGGGATTGCCCAACAACAGAGAAATGGATGAGATCTACATGAGCAAACTGGTCATGGGGGGGTAATGAAGGACAAGGGTGGGGGGAAGAGAGCTTAGGGGAGCAGCAGATGCCTGCTGGATCAAGAACAGAGAGGGAGAACAAGGAAAGAGTGACCATGATAAATGAAGACCCCATGGGAATAGGAAGAAGCAAAGTGCTAGAGAGGTCCCCAGAAATCCACAAAGATACCTCCACAATAGACCTCTGGCAATGGTCGAGAGAAAGCCCGAACTGACCTACTCTGGTGATCAGATGGCCAAACACCCTAACTGTCATGACAGAACTCTTATCCAGTGACTGATAGAAGCAGATGCAGAGATCCACGGCCAAGCCCCAGGTGGAACTGCAGTTGTCCAATCAGCTAGAGAGAGGAGGAATTATATGAGCAAGAGATATTGAGATCATGATTGGAAAAATCACAGGGACAAATAGCCAAACTAGTGAAAACACATGAACTATGAACCAATAACTGAAGAGGCCCCATGGAACTGGATCAGGCCCTCTGGATAAGTGAGACAGTTGATTAGCTTGAACTATTTAGAAGGCCCCCAGGCAGAGGGACCGGGACCTGTCCTTAGTGCATGAGCTGGCATTTTTGGAACCTAGGGCCTATGCTGGGATACTTTGCTCAGCCTAGGTGAAGGGAGCAGGGGACTGGACCTGCCCCAACTGAATCTACCAGGCTGAACTGAATCCCCAGGGGAGTCCTTGCCTTGGAGGAGGTGGGAATGGGGAGTGGTTTGGGGGGAGGTGGGGGAGGGGTAGGAGGAGGGAGGACAGGGGGAATCCATGGCTGATATGTAAAATTAAATTAATTATAAAATTAAAAAAACAAGTTAGGGTAGAATGTGATTTAGGTACAATGTTTTGGACTCATCAAGATATGATAAATAATGGAGTTTTTGTTTGAATTTGTGAAAGTTAATAGACTAGACATTGTTAATGTAATTTTTGACTGTATATATTGTATATACTTATTGAACTTATTGTATATAGTTTCCTTATATTAGTTATAACCTTCTTTTATTATTTTAGACAGAAAAGGGGAAATGTGCTGATATATAGTGTACCCTAATAAACTTATCTAAAGATCGGAGGACATAGCCAGCCACTAGATTAGACATAGAGGCCAGACAGTGGTGGCACACATCCCTAATCCTATCACTCAGGAGAGAGATCCATCTGGATCTCTGTAAGTTCCAGGCCACACTGGAAACAGAGCCAGGCATGGTGGCACACACCTTTAATACCAGCACTTGAGATCTCAGGCCTTTGCTAGGGAAACACACATGCCTTTAATCTCAGGAAGTAATATGACATGACACAGAAAGGTATATAAGGTATGAGGAAACAGGAATCCACTCTCTTTTGGTGGAGGATTTTGTAGGGGTAAGAAATAGTGGATTGCTCTCTGCCTCTCTGATCTTTCAGGTTTTATGACAATATCTGGCTATGGGTTTTTTTATTAATAAAACCTTTGAAGTCTCCCAATATTAATGTGTGGGATTCAATGTATGATTTATGCTTCATTAATTTTTCTTTTATGAATGTGTGTCCCCTTGCATTTGTGGCATAGATATTGAGAATTGAGATGTTTATTGGTGAATTTTTCCTTTGGTGAGTATGAAGTGTCCTACATCTCTTTTGATTAATTTTTGGATGGAGGTCTCTTTTGTTAGATGTTAGGGTAGCTACACCAGCTTGACAGTTTATAAATTAACATGAATGAATACAGCCAGTTCCACTTGTTGAGCTCAGGAAAAAGAAGTATTAATAGATTGATGAATATCTGGACTATGAATCTCTCCTAATTCATTAGTGAGCAATCAATAAAATAATAAGTTTCAGGCTGTAGAATGAGAGAAGTTTGGACAATTTTTGTAATTACAAATTAAGGCCACATTAGGAAAACCCTATATTGACAGCTAGATAATGATTTCCTATCTTTCCATAGTAATGTGCAAATGATTTGAAAGTCCATGCAATTCTTTAAAACACTTCAACTGATTGTTATCTAATGGTAATATAATACAGCAACAACCAAATCTGTATAACTTTTGACATTTGGTCCTGCCCTGATTTACTAATTGAGCAAGAAATGTAAGGTAGGCTGCTAGTATTTTTACCCCTTATGGTATAAATAAATCCATTTCAAAGGTTCTCCTCTTGTGCTTTAATAAGTGTATGAGACAATTTGGTGGGTCAAATAAGTAAGTTTAACAGGGACCAAGGATACACAGGATATACAAATGCCCTTCTTAGTGTGGATAGGACTAAACAATGTGGCCTATCCTTCAACAATTTTAAATAGAAAGGTTAGTGTATCATTAGTTACTCCTAATGGAGAGCACAGCCAATTAATAGCCCCTAATAATTTCCAAAGTCATCAGATGTTTTTAAGTTATCTTCTCTAATGGACATTTTTGTGTTTGTGTGGTTTAACAGTTGTTCTAGTAACTAGTTTATCTAAATATTAGACAGGGCCTGATTATTGTACCATTTTGATTCAACAATAAATCCATTATTTTGTGTTTGTTTTCTGGCATCCCCTGAGTCATGTCATATATGAATTGTAGCTCTTCCTCTTTGGATCAAGTCACCAGGATATCATCTATATGCTGAATAATCTAAGACTAATGGAAGGCCTGCCACACAGACTCTAACATGTTTCCTATGTAGTCTTTATACATAGTAGGGGAGTGTGTCATGCCTTGAGAAAATAAAGCCCATTAACATTAGAGTAGATGTCATTATGTTTGAATAATGGAACAGAAAAGAGAAAATGCCTTTCCAAAGGTTTATTCTCTTGTGCTATAATACTTGTATATGACAATTCAGTGGGGTAAATAAGTACATTTGAAGGCAAGAAAGGATCCAAAGGATACACAAATACATCTTTGGTCTGGATTGAAATAGCTGTAGTTATTTTTTGCTCCTTGAGATAGTAAGCTAGAACAGTTCAATGCCATCTCTTGGAGTTTAAATGGATTGGTCAGTGAATAATTAGATGTTAAACATTTTGATTTTGCTGAAGTTTCACTAGAAATCCCAATTGCACCTCATGGAACCAGGATGGATTGGCAAATGAAGTCAACTTTATCATAGGCTCTCCTAAGTCTTCACCAAAATGGAGAGAATTCAAGATTAGATTTATCAGTAAATTACTCACACCATGCTTCAGGGTCATTTTCAGAAAATGGAGGATATGTATGTAAAGGAGGTTCCAGTGAGGGAGCTGAGGGAACTATCCTCTGCACACATATATGCGATGATATTTTTACTTTTGATTTTGCCTGAACAAGAAAAATCACCTCTTTGCCTCTTTTGCCAATTTAAAAGTTTGATCATGAAGTTTATATTCATTGAAGGAATTCACAATGAGTCCTATATGATTTATGTCCTCCTTATCTTTCTTAGTTTGATAGCAGTCCATGTTAATGACCAAAGGACACAAAATTGAACAGGGATTTTTTCATTTTTCTATGCCTTTTCAATATCGTTTTGAGCTTTACCCCATACTTCATCTAAAATTCCATCTTCTGGAAACCATGAATAATAATCATAATCAATTTTCAAGATATCTAACATTTCTATTTTTAATACTTGTGTGCCTCCTTTCTTTGAAAACATGATGCACTGAGGGTGAATGCTGGGGGAGTGGGAGGAAGGATGACAGGGGAATCCGTGGTTGATATGTAAAACAAATAGAAAATCTCTTAATAAAAAGAAAAATATGTACAGACACACAATAAAAAACCATGATGCACTATTTCAACATAAGGCAAAGCCTTCCCTAGTTTCTTCCCCATGATTCTCACTCACCTTCACTGAGTGTCATCAATCTCTTAATTTGTAGATGACTTCTGGTTTCTTCTCAAGTGCTACTTTTCATTGCTCTAGAGGTGGCAGGATCTGGAAGAATGGAGTTGATAAGTGAGGAGGACTAAAATATCATAAAATATCCAAATTTACTTATTAGCAAAAACAATTTATACTCTGTGAATTAAGAAAGGTTAGATGAGTCAAGTTCTCATGAGTTCAAGCTGTATACAATGATAAAAGTAGTTCACATGGGACAAAAAACATGTTTTTCCATTCAGGCATATAAAGAATAGCTTCAACATTTAACCAAATAAAACAGCAAGTAATATTAAGAAATCTGAAGTCAGCTCACATAAACATTCAGAACTCTCCTCAAATGACTCCTTTCCAGGACCATGCTCTGACAACACACCTAAATTAAATTTATTTTTTTTATTTTAGAAAAAAAACAAAAAATATACATGAATTCAAGCTTTTTTAAAAACATGGAGTCACATATGCATGCAGAGTGAGAAAGAGAGAAAGAAGTCCATCTTTTGCCATTTGCATAACTGGTGCCCAAGGAAGCCAGAAGAGTGCATCAGATCTCTAGCTTTATAAGTAGTTCTGAGCCATCAGATGTTGATGCTAGGAACCAAACTTGGGTACCAAAAATCACCTTTACTACTGAGTCAAATTCCATACTCCCAAATATGTCATTCTAATGTAGAAGATGAAGATGTACCAGTACTCTTTCTGTCTTCGATCACTTGGAGGTGCTGAAATTCCCTATTTGGTCACTGAAGGGTTGAATGAGTCCTATCCCTCTGTGAAGGGTCTCTGCACATTGCTTATTATATTGTTAATTGTTAATACGGTTCTCTTGATGTAAATGAAGACAACAAAAAACTTAGTTGAGTAAGAATGAGTCCAGATTATATTAAGGAAGATTTTGTAATGTGATATATTCTCTTTTAATAATTTATTTTTATTTTACATGCATAGGTGTTTTGTATGTATGTCTGTGTGAGGGTGTTGGATACACTGGAACAGGACTTACAGTTTTCAACTTCAATGTTGGTACTGGGAGTTGAAACTGTCTCCTCTGGAAAAATAGCTGTATGTTTAATTGCTAAGCCATTTGACCACAACCCTGATTTTGGATTTTTGAGACAGGAAGTCTTAGTATTTGGGCAATGTAAAGACCACAACAAAGAAGCAAGATAGGATAGAAGAGATTTATTTGGCCTACACTTCCATATTACTCTTCATCAGTTAAGGAAGTCAGGACAGAAGCCTAAATGGGGCAGGAACTTGGAAGCAGGAGCTAATGCAGAGGCCATGGAGGCATGCTGTTTACTGACTTGCTCCCCATGGCCTGCTCAGTTTCTTTTCTCATACAACCTAGGACACTTGCACATCAAACAATATTAGGAAAAGCCATTATAGCCAGTTCTAATGGATGCTTTTTCTTAATTGACTTTCCTTCCTTTCGGATAACTCCAGTTTGTGTGTGAAACTGACATAAGACTAGCCAGTACAATTGACCACTTGTCAACTTGACACACAAAACACATCACTGTTAAACCACAACCTTTCCTTCCTTATTCATCCACAAGATCTCACATTAAAAACAAAAATGATTTTAATAAGTCGAACAATCTTTATAAATTCAAACACATTAAATTTTCTCTTTAAAAAAATCAATTCTCACTAAAACTCCAAAATTCTTTTTCAAAGTTCAAAGTCTTTAGACTATGGCTCATGTAAAATTCAAAATTAAATTAAAATACCTTCAAGACCAAAGAAAAAAGGCAGTCACAATCTGAAAAAAGTAAAAACAAATTCCAACAGCATAAATAACTCTATATCTAATGATGGGATCCATTCATCATCTTCAGGCCTTCTCCAAAGGATTTGGGTCACTTTTCTGGCTCTGCCCTCTGAAGTACACACAAGTTTTCTTCTATGCTCTAAGCAGTTCCACTTCACCATGGCTGATGATCTTGGTAGACACCCAATGGTACTGAAATCTCTAAAATAATGGAGCCTGGTTTGCAAAGCTTTACCTCATTGGTTAAGTAAATGGGATTTTTCTCTAGTCAGTATTCTTTCATGTCTGTGAAGAATATTTTTATATGCAAAGGCTTTATCACATTGACTACATTCATAAAGTTTCTCTCCAGTGACTTCTTTCATGTTCTTTAAGAAAACTTGAATGTGTAAAGATTTTACCACATTGATTACATTCATAGGATTTCTTTCCAATGTTGTTTACGAATACTAGGATGTGTAAATCTTTATCACATTGGTTATTATTCATACTGTTTCTTTCTAGTATAAGTTCTCAGTACTTGAATACAACTGTTGAATACAACTGCATTTAGGCTATTGGTGAAATTATTAAGGCCACTCCATGTAGTTAAAAGGGAGTTTTATTTTGTGGGGTAACTTACAAGTAAAGGGATAGGTAACAGGGTCTGGGAAAGGTATAGCGAAGTCCAGCAGTGTTCTCTGGAGAACTCTGCTTGGTCTACCTCCAGCGTCCAGGGTCCAGGAACCAAGAGAGCCAGTGCATCCAGATCTTGGGTCTTCAGGGTCCTCTCTAGGGCCCGCCTTGTAGGCGTGACAGTTACTGAAGCCTTAATGGGGGTTGGAACTTCCAGATCAAAGCTGGAATGGCTACCCACTACAAAAGGCTTTATTACTTTGATTATATTCAAAGGGTTTAATTTTCAAATGTGTTCTTTAGTGTGATTGTAAGGAGCAATCAGATCTAAATGTTTTATCATATTGTTCATATTCATAGGGTTCCTCTTCATTATGGGTTCCTTTGTGTATTTAAAGATACCTGTGATGGTTCAAGCCTTTAGTAAATGGCTCACATTTATCACTTTCTGAGTCCTATTCATCATCCTGGATATTTGGGAGGGGGTCCCTGTGGCTTCAGCTTGCAGAGGTTGAAAGATGAAGGCTGAACAGCTGAGCTTTGTCCTCAGGGACCCTGTGCCTACAGCAGCTACATCTACAGGATCTAGTATGTACTTGCATGTCCTCATTGAGGTGGGGGCAGGGTGACAGGGCAGAGACACACCCTGGGGCACCTGCTGGATGATCCCCTGTCCCTGCAAGTCTCCTTAATCAAACCCAAGGGAGTCAAGAGTCCATAAGGTAGGTTCATGCACTGGGATGTTCCCAGAAATCACAAGGCTGTCCCTAAATATAAGGGGAAACTGAGGCTGAAGAATTGGCAGAGGAATGCTGAAGGAGGGTGGGCACCCCAAAATGGAGTCAGGAGTCAGGGGACTCATTGAATAGCATACAGGAGATGGTTTTGATATAAAGCCAGAATAACACCATGCTCCTGAGCCTCCTGTGGACACAGGGTGGAGGAAGGCAGAGGGACGAGGGGTTCAATGTTATCTTAGCTACATAGTGAATTTGAGGTCAGCCTGGGCTACAAGAGACCCCCATCACAAAAGAAAGGTGAAGAAGGAAGAAAGAAGGAGGGGAACAGTTGGGGAGCAAAGAGGCAGATGGGAAGAGTAGGGGAAGACGAGAGAAAGAAAAGAGGGGAGGGGAGTAAAGTAAAGGAATTGGAGGGAAACCTCTTTGTGTCCTAGCTTCCTCACTCAGTGGCACTGACCTGTATTTAGGAGGCTGAGACAGGAGGATCAGGAGTTCAAGAGCAGCCCAGGCAACTTAGACTATCTCAAAACACACAAACACAATTGCTGGTAACTAAGTTTTGTTGTTGTTTTTTATTGTGGTTTGTTTTTGAGATAGGATGTCAGTGTGCAGTTGTACATCACCAAGTCCACTATATCAATGTTTTCAGTTCAGGTGGGTCTCAGTGGGTAGAGGGCTGGCCCAGCATTCACTAGGCCTCTGCATAAACAGGGCATGATGACACTAGTCATCCAAGTACTGGGGAGGTGGAGGCAGGAAAGTCTTGAATTCAAGGTCTATCTGGACTACATGAGCCCATTATAAATATAAACTCTAGTTGGGCAGTGGTGGTGCATGCTTTAATCCCAGCACTTGGAAGGCAGAGGCAGGTGGATCTCTCAGTTACAGGCTAGCCTGGTCTACAGAGCAAGTTCCAGGAGAGCCAGAGCTACATAGAGAAACCCTTTCTTGGGGGCAGGGAGGGGAGGAAGAGAGTTGCCTAATTGGAAATTTCAGTGTCTCAAGGTTAAGCCTGTACTGCCCCCCAAAAAAATGGTTTAAAAAAAAAGACCAAGGCTCAAGGGATGGCTTAGTGGGTAAAGGCTCTCACAACCAAGCTGGATGGATGTGGTTTGGTTCTCAGAATCCATATGGTAGGTGAGAACTGGGTCCCACAGGCCGCCATCTGACTTTTGCACCATATGAGGGGAAGCATCCAGTGGCCTCATTTTTACCCATGCAGCTGAGGATGATCTCAAATTCCACAGCCCTCCACTGAGTGTTAGGATGACAGTCATGAGTCGTCATGCTTGGATGGAACCCAGGGCTCTGAGCATACTAGTCAAGCAGTCTACAAACTGAGCCACAGCCACAGCTTCTGGTTTCTTTCATGTGTTAATCTTAATGCCTCTCTCTGCACATCCCTCTGTTCCTCACACAGTGTTAATGTACCACACTTGGCCAAGGACTTCATGACAAATTCATTTACATTCTGGGGTCTTTTTATTTAATACACAAATGATCAAATATAGAAGTAGTCCTCCCTTAGGCTATTAGTCTGTTAGTTTTCAGGGACAAAAATAGGCACCTTGGCTCATGTCTCTAACATCATCACTTAGAACACTGGGGCATTTTACATATATTTATTTTTATTTAAATTGTATTTATTCCCTGTGGGCATATGTGTGTTCACACATGTATCAGGGTGGGAAGAGGCATCATTCCATTCCTGGGCTATGTTCCATCATCTCCCCCTTTTTATTTTTTAAACACAGGATATCAACAGTGCCTTTCATTAGGGATGTAGGTTAATTTTGGCTGGAGGCAAATTTTAAAAAATTGAGAGTAAATAAATGCAAGAATACCTTTTGGTGCTCCCCTTTTTGTTTTTATTACATTTTTCCATTTTTTTGAGACAGGGTTTCTCTGTATAACTCTGGCTGTTCTGGAACTTACTCTGTAGACCATGCTGGCCTTGAACTCACAGAGATCCACCTGCCTCTGCCTCCTGAGCGCTAGGATAAAGGGTGTGCACCACCACTGCCCAGTCCCCCCCTTTATTTTTAAATAATCATTGTTTTAATGTTCTATATGTTCTTTCAATTATATCCTGGCCTTGAAGATTATAAGAAATGCCTGTAATATGATTAACATTCCATTCTTTACAGAAGTTCTTAAATTTCTGTACTATACAAGAGTCCACTGCTAGATTTTATACAGGTAGGCACTCTCACAACAGCAAAAGTTTGTATAAGAGAAGAGCAAAATGCAGAAGCTCTTCTCTGAGGATTGGGGAACTGCCCAAAGAATCTTAGAAATAGTTAACACTGTATGCAGGTATGAGGCACAAGAGGAAAGTGGATGACATCCATATGCCTTAATTCATTAGTATTTTTAACTCTGGGAATAACTGAATTTAGCTACATGGCCATGACAGTGTAAGAGAGCACAAATAGGACATTCCTGCACAATTTGCCTCATTTGTTTAAGCATGATGTGGCACCATACGTGAGGTCAATTAGTATTAGTGTGTAGGTGTTGATGCCCCTGTTCTGGAGAAGTAAAAATCAGGCAGGTTAATACATAAACTTGCTTATTTCTCTCTGCAACAAAAACAGGGAGGTTAAAGTGTGCATGAGCAGATTAATAAACAAGGGATGTGTGGAGATGTGAACCTGATGTAGTTCCTGTAGTTATGGGAGCATGACAGGATGTGAAGACAAAACTAAAGCAGTTTCTATTGCAGGAAACAATCCAACTATATAAGCAGAATCTGAAACAGTAATTAAGGGTTAATGAATTAACCATAACTGATTAATCAAAACACCAGTTTCACCTGTTGAGATCAGGAAAAAGAAGTATTAATAAACTGATGAGTATCAGGACCATGAATCCCTCCTGTATCATTAGATAAGCCATCAAAATAAGTTTCTGCCTGTGGAATGGGAGAAAGTGGAAAATTTTTATAATCACAAATTCAGTTCTTAGAAGAAAATCTAATTGCTGGCCAGATGGATAATGATTACCCTTCTTTGGTAATCAACAAGTAAAATCTGAAAATCCATAAATTGTATAACACTCTTTTTAAATATTTTTTATTATTAAGAAATTTTCTGTTTATTTTACATACCAACAAAAGATCCCTTCCCCTCCCTCCTCTCACCCCCCAGCCTTCCCTCCCATTTCAACCCCCATTCCCACCTCCTCCAAGGCAAGGCCTCACATGGGGAGTCAGCAGAACCTGATACACTTAGTTGTTTACTGTGGATATCTGTATCCTGTGAATGTGTTGCTATGACTGATTGATAAATAAAATGCTGGTTGGTCAGTAGCCAGACAGGAAGTATAGGCAGGACAAAGAGAGAGGAGAATTCTGGGAAGTGGAAGACTGAGGCAGGAGACTCCCTCCCGCCATCCAGGGAGCAAGTAACAGGCACACAGGTAAAGCCACGGAACATGTGGCCACTTATAGATTAACAGAAATGGGCTGAGTTTATATGTAACAGCTAGGCATTGGTAGGCCTGAGCTAATGGCCGAGCAGTTTTAAATATTAACCTGTGTGTGTTTATTTGGTTCTGAGTGGCTGCGGGCCTGGGCAGGACTGGAGATAACTCCAGCTACAGTTGTTCTTCAATTTCTTTAAGGAAATTTTTCCTTTCCTCTTTGAAGGCCTCTATCATCATGGTGGTAGTCCAGCCTGCCTGTAGGAGAACTGCCTGCTGGCCTGAAACTGGGTCTCTTAGTCCAATCAGAGCTGGCAGGCTCTGTCTCAGGGAGAAGCTGCAGTCTGGGAGGGTGGGTGGGTTTGTGTGGTGGGGTGGGGAATGTTGGTAGTCCAGGCTGCCTGCAGGAGACCTGCCTGCTGGCCTGAGACTAGGTCTGCAATGGTTGGTGGTGTGGGGGCACAGGGTTGTACCCCTGACCCCAAAGCCTAGAGGGTGTGGTGATCATCTATGAGGACAAAGATTCACCTCAGTCTAATTGGCACTGGCAGGCTCTGTCTCAGAGAGAAGCTATGGTCTTGGAGGGTGGGTGGGTTGGGGGTGGTGGTGGTAGTCTGGCCTGTCTGCAGAACTGCCAGCTGGCCTGAGATTAGGTCTGCAATGGGTGGTGGTGTGGGGGTGCAGGGTTGTGCCCCTGGGCTCAAAGCCTAGAGGCTGGAGTGATCTCTGTATAACACTCTTAAACACTGATTGTTAGGGGTAATATAACATAGCAAGAAGAGTAAGGAGAGCACTTAATATTTTCTGACCAATATGGTATAAATATTTCCATTACAGAGGTTTATCCTCTGGTGCTCTAATACCAATAGGAGACAAGTTAGTGGGGAAAATAAGTAAGTTTAAAGGCAGCAAAGAATCCTCATAACACAAAAATGCCTCTTCTACTTTGGATTCAAATAGCTGTAGTTGTTTTCTTGCCTCACTGATATGTGAGGAGCACTGTGCAAGGAAACCTTCTAGGGTTTTAAATAGTTTTGGTAGTGCATAATTGGGCATTCCTAAAGTAGGATGTATCCAATTAAATACCACTAATAATTTCTGAAGGTTAACTGTTTTTAAATTGTATTGTCTATGGATTTTTTTTGTGGTTTAAGTCATTCTAGTAACTAGTTGTCCCAAATATTGCACATTATCTAATCTTTCAACATTTTCAGTGTAATAATGAGCCCATTTTTATGTAGCATATCCTGAGTCATGTCATATATGGACTGTAGCTCTTCCTCTTTGGGGGTATCTAAGACAATATCATACATATTGAACAATAGAAGCCTGAAAGAAGGCTTTTCACTTAGTTCATATTTCTTTTTCAATATTATTTCTGACTCTGTCCCACACTTCATCTAAAATTCCTTCCGGAAACCAGGGATTATAATCATAAGCAACTTGCAAGCAAGTTTTAATCATAGCTATGGTTTTGATGCTTGTGCTGCTCTTTTCTTTAAAAAATGATGCACAAGCTTGGCAAAGTCAGGGGCTAGAAAGATGGCTCAGTGGTTAAGACCACTGACTGCTCTTGCAGAGGACCCAGGTTTGATTCCCAACAGCCATGTGGCAGCTCACAACTGTAACCCCAGTTCCAGGGGACCTGACACCCATGGCAAAACTCCAATGCACATTGAAAGAAATTATTCACAAGCTTGAGAAAATAAGTCTTCCCTGGTTTCTGCCCCATCATTGTCACTTCCTTCTGTGAGGGTCCCCACACTCTTCTGTTGTAGTTGACCTGGCCCCTGATCAGGTATAACTCATCACCATTCTAGAGGGGATCTGGAAGAATGGAGCTGATAAATGAGGCAGACAAAAGTCTCACACCATAGACAACTTTATTCATGGCCCAACACACTTCATACTTGTAACTGAAAGTTTTCCTGTGCCCAGCTGGCTCCCATGTCCTCACAGTCCTGCAGCTGCTCAGACCCAAGTAAACACACAGAGGCTTATATTAATTATTAACTGTATGGCCTATTGGCTCAGGCTTCTCGCTAGCTATATCTTACAACTTACATTAACCCATTTCTATAAATTTATACTTTGCCATGTGGCTCATAGCTTGCCGGTATCTTTACATCTTGCTTCTCATAGCGGCGGCTGACAGTGAGACTCTGTTCTGCCTTTCTCCTTCCTCCTCTCTAGTTAGAATGTCCTGCCTAACCCTATTCTGCCTCACCATTGGCCAAACAGCTTAATAAATTGATTGATCAATAATCAATCAATCAGAGCAACATATTTTTACAGCACACAAAAAGATATCCCCCTATTTAAGTGTTAAGAAGGTCATAAGAATAAGGTTCTCATAACTTCAGCTGTATACAATGATAAGGACAAGCCAGACATGGAAAACATGTTTTTCCATACAGGCATATAAAGAATAGTTTAAACATTTAATTGAATAACAGCAAGCAATAATTAGTAATCTGAAGTAAACTCACTCTTATCTGCCACAAAACAGTTTCAAGAACAATTTTGTGTTTTGAGGAAACTGAAGTCACAAGACTCATTTCTTTTATTATTGGGAGTATTCTCATAAGCATTCAGAAATTTCACATGATTCAATTCCAGGACCATGTTCTGACAATATACCTAAGTTAAATTTTTATTTAAATTTGTAAAAAAAGAAAAAAAATGAAGAGAGCCCTTTTTACAATATGTAGTTTTTCTCACAGATGTATTTGAACTATACATAGATATGAATATATGTGTGTGTATGTGTATATATGTGTATATATATATGTATACATACACACACATACACACACACACATATATATCACACACACACACACACACACACACACACACACACACACACATATATATATATATATATATATATATATATATATGTGACTCCATATTCTTAAAAGGACTTTCTTCAAGTTTCATAATAGAAAAATTACAATATATAAAAAGTTTATATCTTTACACCATTTGCATATTTGGTGCCCAAGGAAGCCAGATGAATGCATCAGATCTCCTAGAACTGGAATTACAAGTAGTTCTGACCCATCTGATGTGGGTGCCAGGAAACAAAAAGGTGCTTGAATACCTTATACCATAAGTACTGAGGCAACTGTTCATGACCCAAATATGTCATTATAATTCAGAAGATGAACATGTCCCATGACTCCTTCTATCTTCTCTTACTTGGAGGTGATGAAAATCCCTGCTACATGGTCATTGAAGGACTCAATGGGTTTCTTTATTTCTGAGAATGGACTCTGCACATTGCTTCTTATAGTCATTTTTAATAGTTCTCTTGATGTGAGTGAAGACAATGAAGGGTTTAGTTGAGTAGAGATAAAGCCAGATTAAGTTAGGAAAATTCTATAATGTGATATATGTTACAGTTACTTAAATTTTCTTTTGGGTTTTTTGAGACAGGATCTCAATATATGGCCATGAGTATCCAGGATCTCATTATGTGGACCATGATAGCCTCAAACTCAGCAAGATCCATCTGCCTGTCTCCAAAATGCACCACTACACCCAGTTCAAATATGTTTATAAAATGACCTATCTTTCACTCAGAGACAAATAATGTAAGATGAAAACAGAAACTATCATTTTATTAAACAGTGACATGTCATGCAATGCTACAATGTATTTGTGTTCTCAATATTTTGGTTATTTTCTTTGCTTGTTAATTTCATCTCTTTAGAAATTTTTACCAGTATGTAAACACTTGTGCCATGTTGTGCATGTGCTAGGCAAAAGACAACTTACAAGTGTGTATGCGCTACTTCCACTATGTCACTACTAGAGATCAAACTGAGGTAGTCAAGTTTGGGAGCAAATGCCTTAAGCAGGTGAGTGATCTCACTAATTTCTTATTTCAATTTCAAAAATATTGATGTGTGTGGGTGTGTGCTGTGCATATGACCCAGCCCAAGTGTAGTAATCAGAGAAAAACTGGTATGAGTAATGTGTGTATCCCAGAGACTGAACTCAGGTCATCAGTCTTAGCAGCAATGACCTTCACACACTAAGACAATTCTCTGCCATTCATGTGTGTATCTGAGCAAGTGTTAGGAACAAGCATTTAGTCCTTAAAATAAACTAACACAATTAAAAAACTGGATGGCGGGATAAATACTATTTTCATTTGCAAAGAAGTGAAGTTGACACTTCAAATAAGTTTTATTATTCAATAATAGCAATTATTCTGTACTCCTCTATCCTTGGATGACAATTTGTTTACAATTTGAAAAAAGACAATATTTGACTGATAGAATGCTTCTACTAATCTTACTTGAGCACCAGTGAGACAGCTCAGTGAGAACAATGTATGTGGTGTGTGAAGCTTTACTTAATTTACTAGATTCATGATGTTTCTCTCCAGGAGTAATCCTGTTGTGCCTTTGAAAATGACTGTAACATAAAGAGGCATGATCACATTGATATTTATAGGGTTTCTCTTCACTATTACTTCTTTGATGTGTGAAGATTACAATGACCTGCAAAGTTTTACTGCATCAATTACATTCATTGGGTTTTTCTCCAGTATGACACCTTTCATGTTTTTGAAGGCTTTTGTGACTTGCAAAGGCAAGTCACATTGAATACATTCATAGTTTGTCTCCAGTATGACTCCTTTCATGCCTTTGAAGATAAATAATATGTGCAAAGGCTTTACCACATTGATTACATACATAGGGTTTCACTCCTGTATGAGTGCTTTCATGTATTTTGAGATTACTGCGACTTACAAAGGCTTTGCCACATTGATTACATACATAGGGTTTCTCTCCGGTATGACTCCTTTCATGTGTTTGAAGATTACGACGACTAACAAAGGCTTTATCACACTGATTACATATATAGGGTTTCTCTCCAGTATGAATTCTTTCATGTGTTTGAAGATTACTGCGACTTCCAAAGGCTTTACCACATTGACTGCATTCATAGGGTTTCTCTCCACTATGAATTTTGAAATGTTTTTGAAGACGACTGAAATGTGTAAAGCTTTTCCCACATTGATTACATTCAAATGGTTTGTCTCCAGTATGACTTCTTTCATGCCTTTGAAGATAAATGATATGTGCAAAGGCTTTACCACATTGATTACATCTGTAGGGTTTCACATCTGTATGAGTACTTTCATGTATTTGAAGATTACTGCGACAAACAAAGGCTTTACCACATTGATTACATACATAGGGTTTCTCCCCAGTATGAATTTTTTCATGATTTCGAAAACTAGTGAAATGTGCAAAGGCTTTACCACATTGATCACATATATAGGGTTTTTCTCCAGTATGAATTCTTTCATGTATTTTAAGATTTCTGCGACTTACAAAGGCTTTACCACATTGATTACATACATGGGTCTTCTCTCCAGTATGAATTCTTTCATGTGTTTGAAGTTTACTGTGACTTCCAAAGGCTTTACCACATTTATTACATTCATATAGTTTCTCTCCACTATGGCTTTTATAATGTTTTTGAAGATGACTAAAATGTGTAAAGCCTTTCCCACACTGATTACATTCAAATGGTTTGTCTCCAGTATGACTTCTTTCATGCCTTTGAAGATAAATGATATGTGCAAAGGCTTTACCACATTGATTACATCTGTAGGGTTTCACATCTGTATGAGTACTTTCATGTATTTGAAGATTACTGCGGCATGCAAAGGCTTTACCACACTGATTACATACATGGGGTTTCTCTCCAGTATGAATTTTTTCATGATTTCGAACACTAGTGAAATGTGCAAAGGCTTTACCACACTGATTACATTCATAAGGTTTCTCTCCTGTATGAGTTCTTTCATGTATTTGAAGATTACGGCGACTTACAAAGGCTTTATCACATTGATTACACATAAAGGGCTTGTCTCCAGTATGAATTCTTTCATGTGTTTGAAGATTACTGCGACTTCCAAAGGCTTTACCACATTGACTGCATTCATAGGGTTTCTCTCCACTATGAATTTTGAAATGTTTTTGAAGATGACTAAATTGTGCAAAGCCTTTCCCACATTGATTACATTCAAATGGTTTGTCTCCAGTATGACTTCTTTCATGCCTTTGAAGATAAATGATATGTGCAAAGGCTTTACCACATTGATTACATCTGTAGGGTTTCACATCTGTATGAGTACTTTCATGTATTTGAAGATTACTACGACAAGCAAAGGCTTTACCACATTGATTACATACATAGGGTTTCTCCCCAGTATGTGTTTTTCCATGATTTCGAAGACTAGTTAAATATACAAAGGCTTTACCACATTGATTACATACATACGGTTTCTCTCCAGTATGAATTCTTTCATGTATTTTAAGATTATGGCGACTTACAAAAGTTTTACCACATTGATTACATACATAGGGTTTCTCTCCAGTAAGGATTCTTTCAGGTATTTTAAGATTATGGCAACTGGCAAAGGCTTTACCACATTGATTGCATTCACATGGTTGCTCATCAGTATGTATTCTATGTACTTGAAAGCAACTGTAATGTTCAAAGTCTTTTGCACCTTGATTATATTTATAGGATTCCACTTCCAAATGAGTTCTTTGGTGTAACTGTAAAGAGGAATCAGATCTAAAGTCTTTATCATGTTGATTATATTCATAAAGATCCTCTTCATTATGGGTTCTTTTGTCTGTCTGAAGATACCAATGATGGTTCAAGTCTTTAGTAGGTGGTTCATATTTATCACTTCCTCTTCCCATATGAGTTTTATAACATCTTTGAACACAACTAGGAGAACTCAGAGTTTTACAACACTGATTGCATGCATAACATTTTTCTATACTGTGGGTCACACTACATTTGCAAAGTGAACCAGCACAGACAGAAGAATTCCCACATTCCTTGTAATCATAAGGCTTTTTTCCAGTGTGAGTTTGTTGATGTATTCCCAGTTTAGTTGGAAAACCAATTAATTGTAAACTTGTATCACATTCACCAAGTCTACTCATAGTGGGCACTCCGACATATCTTCTAACTGTTGTAGGAGAGAGAGAAGTACATTGCTTCTTCCCATATCCCTTATGTTCAAATGGTTTGTAGCCAGAAGGACAGATGAGATACCTATTAAAGGAAGAATAACAAAGAAAAAGTTTTCACATTGCATTCACACAATCTAACTTTTTGTTCCTCATAGAGATGTGGTATAGAGATTAAAGTTTCTCCACCATGACAACCTTCTTGGCTCTCATAAACTGCCCCTCTCAATAAACTACTATAAGTTTCTATAAGTATATGAGCAACACTAGCTTTACTATGGACTATTTGCTTACAAAAGGCCTTGGACATACATTGAGCCCCCTAATCAATGTGTGTGCCTATATGATACTTAAATGGTATGAAAGGGATAGACAGTTCTACAAAATGAATCTCATGGGGCTATGATTAAAGTAGTGCCATGTGTTAACACATTGTTTTATTGTCTTCTTTCTTACAAGAATGCCTTGGAAACATGGATCACCTACCTGACATTGAGGTGCATTGGTTTGTGAGAATTTATAGTCATCATAAAGCTGTGCTTACAGTGTTGTCTTTCCTTAAAGCTTCAGGGCACACTGAAATTTCTTCAGAGATGCATATGGATCATCTCACATATGTAAATTACCTTTCATGTCTTCTAGAACTTTGATAATGTTCTTCAATATTCTGGTCTTCCCATTTGTAGCCTAAAATACAGTACCACAAAATGTATGATATATTATAGGAAATTATACAAATTTTAAGTCACTATCTTTTTTGAACCTGAGAACCATGCCTGACTTATTCACCATGATATATTATAGGAAATTATACAAATTTTAAGTCACTATCTTTGTTGAACCTGAGAACCATGCCTGACTTATTCACCACGTTCTTCCTTTATCACAACTGAAATCACAGGAAAGCATCAATGATCAAGAAATGCTTGTCCCCTTCTTGGAAAAAGTGACAAAAAAAACTAGCATTCCTACCTATAGCAGTGAGGTTCCTGCAGGTTTCCAGCATCACATCTTCATACAGACTCTTCTGGGAAGGTTCCAGCAAAGCCCACTCATCATGGGTGAAGTTCACATGCACATCCTCAAAGGTCACTGTATCCTAAAGTATCCCACATATGTATGTAATAGAAATGATGAGACTGGCTGAAGTGTAAAAATACATTTCATTGAAAGTACATTTACATGATTCTGTGGGCTCCATACATTTATTCCATGTCACAGAATTTCAAATGCAGTCACCAAGTCATTTTATAAGGAAACAGAAAAGGAAGATCACACCTCTAGATTCTGTGCCCACAACAGTACATGGCATTGCAAGAGAAATGACTACTAACAGATATATAGACAGACATGCAAACACAGCAACACTACTCAGCATACATCAGCAAAACTGTATCAAAATTCCTAACTTCAAAAAAGAATGAACAAGATAGGCATGGTGGTATATACATTTAATTCCAAACCTCAACAGGCAGAGACAGGTGAATCTCTGTGATTTTGAAGCCAGTCTGATCTATGTAGAGATTTAAAAGACAGGCAGAGCTACACAGTGAGACCCTGTCTCTAACAAACAAACAAATAAATAGAATGATTAAGAATAAATAACAAATAAAAATGATTAAGAATAAAGAGAGATTAAGAAAAACCAGCATCACCCTCCAAGACCCCAGCTGCTCTCTAGGCTTTGGGCCCAGGAGCACAACCCTGTGCCCCCACACCACCACCCATTACAGCCTGTTTCAGGGCAATAGGCAGGCCTCCTGTAGGCAGGCTGGACTACCACCATGCCCGACCAGACTCTGTAACCTACAAGTCCCACCACTCCCAAACCCACACATCCTTTGAGACCATAGCTGCACCCTGAGACAGAGTCCACCAGCACCCATTGGACTAAGAGGTAAGTCTTTGTTCTCCTAGACAATCACCCCAGCCTCTAGGCATTGGGCCCAGAGGCACAACCCCGCACTCCCTTACCACCACCCACTGTAGCCTCAGTTTCAGGCCAGGAGGCAGGACCCCTGTAGGCAGGCCAGACTATCATCATCCACCATTGGACCCTGTAATCTACAAGCTCCACACCACTCCTCAAACCAATCCACCCTCCAAGGCCGCAGCTGCTCCCTGAGACATAGATTACACCAGCACCAATTGGACTAAGAGCTCCAATTGGACCAAGAGCCTCAATTAGACCAAAAGCTCACATTGGAGGAAGAGTTCACATTGGACCAAGAGCTGCAAATGGACGAAGAGTGTCGAGTGGACCAAGAGAGGCTCCCTCAGACACAGACACCACTTGAACCAAGTGGAGGAAAAGATGGGTAGATGCCAGTGCAAAAATACAGTAAACATGGCCAGCGGTGGTGGCACATGCCTTTAATCCCAGCACTCAGGAGGCAGAGGCAGGTGAATTTCTGAGTTTGAGGCCAGCCTGATCTACAAAGTAAGTTCCAGGACAGGCTCCAAAATCTACATAGAGAAACCTTATCTCCCAAAACCAAAAAAAAAAAACCAAAAAACAGTAAACAACCTAAAGACCAATATGGTACCACCAGAACCTAGTGGTACTACATCAGCAAGACCTGAACATCCCAACACAGAAGAAGCAGAAGAAATCTGCCTTAAAATGACTTTAAGAAGATGATACAGGTCTTTAAACAGGAAAAGAAAAATTCCCTTCAAGAAATTGAAGAAAAGACAAACAAAACATTAGAAGAAATCAATAAACCCCTTAAAGAAAACCAAGAAAAGGCAATTAAAGATGTGAAGGAGACAGTTCAAGATTTGAAAACTGAAATAGAGACCATAAAGAAGACACAAACTGAGGGAATGCTGGAAATGGAAAGTCTGAGTAAATGAACAGGAACTACAGATGCAAGCATAACCAACAGAATGCAAGAGATGGAAAAGAGAATCTCTGGTGTTAACGATACAATAGAGAAAATAGATTTGTCAGTCAAAGAAAACATTAAAGCCAACCAAGTCATAACACAAAATATCCAGAAAAAAAAAGTTATCTTTCCAATAGAGAAAGGGGAAGGAAAGGAAGCTAAAAAAGGTACCTTCACAATAGAGAAAGGTTAAAGAAAGAAAATTTTAAAAAAGAAATTTTCCCAGAAAGAAAAGGAATGTTCCCCATAGAAGAAAGGGAAATGCTTAATTGAGAACCTACAGTGCCACTTTATGAAGGAATAAAGGAATGGCGGCCTAAGGTAATACTAGCATCTCCACAGATTTTTCCCATTACTTTGCAGCAAAAGATCAATATCCACAAGGCTTTGTTCAGATTGATTGGAAACCTACAGACATGACAGATTTAAGGTGATTTAAGGAAGTAGTGGTGGCATATGAAATGCATTCACCTCAAATAAGACAGTTTTAAGTAACCGAGCCATACAGAATAGAATTATTGCACAAGATTGAAAGGACCACATGAATGCTATACTGGAAGCTGGTCCTCAATTACAATGACTCACCTGATGCAAAAAAGCAACAACAGTCACAGAACAGCATAATCAGGCTAGAGGAGGAAATAAACTGAAGGACCAATTGTTGGGTGAGGGTCAGGATGCTGACTTACAAAGACAAGTACTGTTTGATGATGCAACTATTGTACAATGTCATCTAACAGCTTTAAGGGCTTGGGATAAGGTTGAAGAGCCAGGGAGAAGAACTACCTATTTACAAAATTTACACAAAGTTCAGGAGAAGCTTACACTGATTTTTTTTTTTTACAAAGAATAACCTTAGCAGTGCATAGAGCAGTGGCTGATCCTGATGTTAGAAAGGTTTTGGCTGAGTCTTTGGCTTTTGAAAATGCAAACACAGACTGTGAGAAAGCCATAAATAAGGCCTTTGAAAGCTCAGGGAGCTCCTCTAGAAGATTAGATTAAGGCCACTGCTGATATTGGATCTACTACTTGCAATGCCAATATTATTGGGCAGGCCTTGGCTAAAAGACTTTGATCTCACACTGGGAAATTGGGGCATTTAAAGAAGGACTGTCAGCAAGGATTTCAAAAGGAAATGTTTCCCTTCAACGTAATCAAGGAAAAGGTTCTTAACTTTGGGAAGTTTGTAAGAGGTGTAAAAAAGGCAATCATTGGACTAATATTCTTAGATCAGTCAGAGATGTACATGGCAATCTTTTACCATTGGGAAACCAGATAAAGGGCTTAGCTTGGGGCCCAGGAATAAACAACATGAGCCAGCAATATATGGCTCAATATATGTCAGCAATAATATGGCTCACCAATAGAGCAACCAGGGAACTTAGGCTCAGTATTGGAGATTTAATGTATGCTACCTCAGGAAGTGCTGCTTTGGATTTAGTGGGTAAACATTTAACATTATCTCCACAAATTGCTTGTTACAAAATAACCACTGGAGTGTATGGTCTTCTTCCCCCAGAGACAACTGGAATTATTATGGGAAAAAGTAGTGTAATATCTTAAGGATTTATTTTTTCACCCAGGAATTATAGATGAAAATTACCAGGGAGAAATTAAAATTATGACTTACATGAAAAAAAAAAAGACTATGGAAATAGAAGCTGGTGATAGAATTGCTCAATTACTATTGCTTCTGTATCTTAAAGGTAAAGCAGCTCCAGTGTACAGAACAGGAGGTTTTAAAAGTACTGGAAAGAAAGTATTTTCACAAACTGTTATTAATGATGAAAGGCCAAAGCTAAAATTATAAATAATGGCACTGAGATTTCAGGCCTAGTAGAGACTAACACTGATATATTTATAATTTCTCAAAAATGAAATCCCAACTAGCATTTATGTCTCAAATCATCATGGCATGGGTGTGTGGGTTCAGTTGAAACTATGGAAAGAAGACTCAGAGGCACCTTAAGAAAGAATTTAGCCTTTCTTGGCTGCAGGGGGAATCCAGCCTCTAAGGACTGAAGCACTTTCCCTTTGCCCAGGGCATTTTTATTTTTCTCTATATTTACTGTTTAGCCATTTGATTTCCATATGTTCAAAACAACCTGAAAGAAGCTCCCAAAGATACAATGCCAAGTGCAAATTCCTCAATTCATCAAGTACCATGGTTCTTCAGGTTTCCTGAGCCAAGTTTTGCATAGGCCTTTGTATCCTTGGGAGACTCTGAGACAAGATTCACATAAGCAACAAGAGAAACAAAAGGTGTCTGCTAAACAAAAGATGGGTTAGGGCTAGGTGCCACTCTCTGGTGCCCAGGCCAGGAGTAGCCCAGTGGGAGTGCAGTCACAGATCCCCCTTTCTATATACAAAAATCAATTATCTTGAAAGTTATGTGGCCTCACGGTAAATATAGCCTTTTTTCTATCTTCTCCTTACAATCTTATGTAAGTAGACCAAAACACATTTTAAAGCAAATAAAGTTACTATTGCTAGAACAAGAGCAACAACTGCTAGGGTAAGAAATCTATTAAAGTGATTCATAGAATTGAATGAGACTACAGTATCTGCTAGACTTTCCATAATGTCTGTTCCTGTTGTATCAGGTAACTTTTTCGCAAAAGTTTCTTTAATTTCTTTCTGTAAATCATAAACCATTTGAGAAAAATTAGGGTGACCCAACAAATGCATCCTAACCTTATCCCAATCATATTTGCTTTCATTAAATCTTAAGGTGTGATACAATAAGAAGGAACATTCCAATCACATTTTATCTGCACCTTCAAAATTTCTAACTGATTCCCTAACAATACAGCAGCTTGTCTTAACTTGGCTAATTCATTTACTATCTCATTATCAGTCTTATTTTGTTCAGTCCAAAGTTCTTCTGTGTAGTAGGACAGGCCCATAGGGTCGAGGAAATTGGCTCAGACCAGCTGTCAAGGCATGCATATAACATACTCCTTAAGAGCCAACCTGGAGTTTGCCTGAGGGCCTAGCAACAGGAGCTGTCAGAGTTCCTGGTCACTGTCAGAGTTCCTGATCATGCCAGTCAATGAGGGAAAATCACATAGACTGGGTGCTGGGAGGATATATAAAGGCTTCCCTGGTATTGAATAAATGAGTTCATTATTTGCCTTCAATAGACTCCCCGTATCTATGTTGTTGATGTCACGACTTCTCACCCCCTCGTCCGAGGGAGCCATTAGAATCC